CCACCTCCCACCCTCTCCTTATTCCTAGTACCTGTTAAATAACTACGGTAGCCCTGCGCTGTGCAATTACGACTAGCAACTGCTCAAATTGGACATGTGCAAGAAGTCAGAAGCCGTGTACAAACTGCGAAATGGGACCAACATGCCAGAAAAGCAACCAACCGCCCGACGAAAGGGAAGAAGCAGAGATGGAAAATACAGAGGGATCACAACGGGGCGGTAAGACATGAAAGACAGCAACCGGCAACAAAGGACGAGGGGGAGGAATTTCCCCGAGATGAGAGAGAGAGAGAGAGAGAGAGAGAGAGAGAGAGAGAGAGAGAGAGAGAGAGGGAGGGAGAGAGATGGCGAGAGAGAAAGATAGCGAGAGAGAGAAAAAAAGATGGCGAGAATGAAAGATGGCGAGAGAGAGAGAGAGAGAGAGAGAGAGAGAGAGAGAGAGAGAGAGAGAGAGAGAGAGATGGCGAGAGAGAGAGAGAGAGAGAGAGAGAGAGAGAGAGAGAGAGAGAGAGATGGCGAGAGAGAGAGAGAGAGAGAGAGAGAGATGGCGAGAGAGAGAGAGAGAGAGAGAGAGAGAGAGAGAGAGAGAGAGAGAGAAAGAGAGAGAGATGACGAGAGAGAGATGACGAGAGAGTCATTAGTTCCAACCACGCCACGACGTACATGCACCACGAGGAGGCGAAGAGACGGTGACGGCGCAAATGCTGAGCAAGGTATAAAGTGACGTCAAGGCCGAGACAACTCTCATTCTCGCTCCAGTCCACGAACACCGCCGACGAAGCCCGCCTAGAAGTTCGTGCAAGTGGCTTCTGGGTACGGAGACAGCGGACATTTTTTGACTTCCGAATTTTCAACCCCACGACATCAGACAACCGAACCCAGGCGCTGAAGTCGGCCCTCATTAAAACGAAAATGAAGAGAATATCACCAAGAGGCCAAAAGACAGTACTGTGAAATAGTAGTGCCAGCAAAAGCACCTTTTAAAACTGCTATGAAGATTATGACATGGAGGTCGATTTGAGAGAAAGAAAAAAAAACAAGAAGAGGAGATAGATAGATGGAGGAAGGAGGGAAGAGAGGGGAAGTAGGAGAGAGGGAAAAGGAGAGAGAAGAGAGGGAAAGTAGGAGAGAGAGAAAAGGAGAAAGAAGGGGGGGGGGGGAGTAGGAGAGAGGGAAAAGGAGAGGGAAGGAGGAAAATACAGAGAGAGAGAAAGGGAAAAGATAGTTGATCTGAAGGGAAAGTGGAAGAAAGGGGCGGAAGGAATAGGGATAGAAGGAAATATGGAGGGAGGAGGGTTGGCTGCGACGGACAAATGGGGAAAGGAGTGAGAAACAGGGAGAAAGAGGAATAGGGAGACAGAGGCGGAGGGGGTGGGGGTAAGAGAGGAAGGGACAGAGGCAGAGGTAGGAACCTAGACAGTGAGAGACAGAAAGAAGAGATAGATAAATAAAAAGATAGATACAAAGGCAGACAGACAAACATACAGACAGACAGAAATTGAGAGAGAGAGAGAGAGAGAGAGAGAGAGAGAGAGAGAGTGAGAGAGAGAGAGAGAGAGAGAGAGAGAGAGAGAGAGAGAGAGAGAGAGAGAGAGAGAGAGAGAGAGATGGCGAGAGAGAGATGACGAGAGAGAAAGATGGCGAAAGAGAGAGAGAGAGAGAGAGAGAGAGAGAGAGAGAGAGAGAGAGAGAGAGAGAGAGAGAGAGAGAGAGAAAGAGAGAGAGAGAGAGAGAGATCGAACGAGAGAGATCGACCGAGAGAGAGAGAGATCGAACAAGAGAGAGAGATCGAACAAGAGAGAGAGATCGAACGAGAGAGAGAGAGAGACAGAGAGAAAGAAAGAGATCGAACGAGAGAGCGAGAGATAATACAAGTACCGGTATACATCCGCGAGTTCTGCATACATCCCTACGAGTGTACACAATATATAAAATACCCCCACAGCATGATTATTCGCTCGAGTGCCGAAAACTAATGAAACTTCTTTGGCTTCCCCCCTCTCCCCCCTCCCCTCCCAGCACTACGTCCATCGTGACCTGGCCACAAGGAACTGCCTGGTGGGGGCGAACCTCGTAGTCAAGATTGGTGACTTCGGGATGTCCAGAGATGTCTACACGACCGATTACTATCAGGTAACCAGAGGGTGTTCTTTATATCCGGTGTGAATGTATGAATGTTCGAATTTCTTTTCCTAAAATGTAAAGGTATGCATGTTTTTATAGAGGAAACGTATGTTCGATTTTCTTTTCCTAAAATGTATGTTCGATTTTCTTTTCCTAAAATGTACGTTCGATTTTCTTTTCCTAAAATGTATGTTCGATTTTCTTTTCCTAAAATGTACGTTCGATTTTCTTTTCCTAAAATGTATATTCGATTTTCTTTTCCTAAAATGCACGTCCGATTTTCTTTTCCTAAAATGTACGTTCGATTTTCTTTTCCAAAAATGTACGTTCGATTTTCTTTTCCTAAAATGTAAGTTCGATTTTCTTTTCCTAAAAT